TAATACTAAAGCACGTCCTTCTTCATCTGCTGCTCTTCTGACTTGAGATTCCTTGGATCTATGAGGTGATGCACAGGTATGCTCTGCAGACAGCAACGCAGAGTGGGTTTGGAATGCTAAGCCCACTGTCACCAACTGATGTGGTATAATTAGAAAAGTCATTAATTCTTGCTCAGTAGTGCTACAATTTATAACCAGGTAGACATGCAGTGCCCTGCAATACAGGGCCAGGGAAATGGCTCATGGTGCCAAACGTAGTGCAGAACCCACATCAGAGACTGACGGTGCCCTGTGGGAAGTCCCAGTGCTGCCTTCAGCTCAGCAAAACAGTGCCTGTGCTCTGTGCTGCTCACACAGTTTGCCCGGATGATGAAAGGTGACTTCAGAAATTACATTTCCAAATAACCATCTCCTGTCTGAGGAGGATGGCACTGTTCCCAGTGGTTCAGGCTGGGACTGCCTTGAGGTTCTTTGTTTAAGCTCCCTGGGTGCTGCAGTTCTCATGCACAGAGCTGAGAATGCTCTGCCAGAGTCAGGGCTCAGCCTTTTTTTTTTTTCTCCTGGATTAAAAACTGTGGTTGAGGATGAGCTAACAAAACCAGAGCAAGCTATCCAGGGACATCCCACTGTTGGACAGTGTTGGAGCGAGGGCCAGCTGCTTTATTTGTGCCCTGTCTTGCTGGAGATGAGTTGCCAGTTCAGGCAGAGTTTGCTGCAAGGTTCTCTCAACCCAGTGCACAGATGACTGTGCCTCTGCCTAAAATTTCTTCTCCTCTTAACTCCTCCATGCTTGCCAGCTCAGAAAACTAAGCGTGGACAATACAGAACAGCCCAAAGAAGGGAAGGTAAGCAGTGAGCACTGAGAAGAACAGCAGATGTTGCTGCAATGCACGGCGGAGCACCATCTATCATCTCTCCAGCCTTTGCTCTGAGTTCCCCAGACAGCAGAGCATTCCCACACCTCAATTGTTTCACTGCAATACCAGAGATTTTTAAAGTGCAGCATAAATCTACTTTCAGATGTACCCCCTCTGCCTGACAAGGTGACCCACACCTCGCTGGCCCTGGCTGTGATGTGCTCAGGCAGGCTGTGCAGTGTCCTTTGACACGCTCTGCTGTGCAGGCATTGAGCTGTGAGTGCGCTGTGAGCTGGGTCTTCTGAAATAAAACAAAACAGGTGCTGCTACTTTGGCTGTTTCACTTCCATCTACTGCCTCTGCCTCGCCCCTTCATCTGGGCACTGTTGCTTATGAACAAAATGACTTTGAAAAGAGATGGTTTCTTTTTATTTTTTTCACCGTTGGGGAAAGGGGGAAGAACTGAGCTATGGGGGATGTGGCAGTGGGGACAGATTGATGGTGTGGCTATGAGGTGCTGTGAGTTACGTCTGCTTGGTTGCCATAATGCTGATGTGCAGTCCCAGTGTGAAGGAGAAGCAGAACAATGGGTTGGTTTTGTTCTCCTGGGCAGAAAGACCATCAGCAAAGGGGTGGCCAGCAGGGACAGGGAGGCGATTGTCCCCCTCTGCTCTGCTCCTGTGAGGCCCCATCTGCAGCACTGCATCCAGGGCTGGAGCCCCCAGGACAAGAAGGACAGGGAGCTGTTGGAGAGGGTCCAGAGGAACCACAGAGATGAGCAGGGGCTGCAGCACCTCCACCACGAAGACAGGCTGAGGGAGCTGGGCTTGTTCAGCATGGAGAAAAGAAGCTGTGGGGTGACCTCAGTGCAGCCTGCAGTGCCTGAAGGGAGCCTGCGGGCAGGAGGGGAATCAGCTTTGTGCAAGGGGAGATGGCAGCAGGACGAGGGGAAATGGTTTGAATGGAGGGAGGGCAGCTGGAGGTTGGATGTCGGGGGAAGTTCTGTGCTGTGAGAGCGGTGAGGTGCTGGAACAGCTGCCCAGAGAGGCTGTGATGCCCCGTCCATCCCTGGAGGTGTTCAAGGCCAGGTTGGATGGGGCCCTGGGCAGCCTGGGCTGCTGTGAAATGTGGAGGTTGGTGGCCCTGCGTGTGGCAGGGGTTGGAGCTCCATGATCCTTGAGCTCCCTTCCAACCTGGGCTATGTTGTGATTCTATGAAAGCAACAGGAGGCTGTGCTTATAACTGCGACAAAAATCTGTTTCTGGAGATTTTTCTAAGGATTCACTGGGCTGTGTGGTGCCTTGGGAGCTGAATGTCACCACAGAGTGCTGCACTGGCAGCAGGCAGTCAGACCTGGGGTTTCTTTAGGAAAAATCTGGTTTCTGCTTTTTGGCAGGTCAAAGTCTGGCAGTGGCACTGAGAGCAGAGGACGTCGGGTACCCAAAATTTGATCACTGCAGTGCTAACGGCCCTGAGCTGGGATTCCACGTCAGCTGTGCTCTGCACCTTTGGTCTCTGTGTGCACAAGATCTGCTCAGAGGGTTCCTCAGAGCAAGGATCTTGTCCTAGAGGAGGGGAGCGTTTGCAAGGAGTCTGAGGATTTCATATCCTCATGGTTGTAATGCATGCAGGAGGAAGGGTGAGATCCTCTGGGCAGGATGATTTGAAGGGAAATGACGTTATTCACCTGCGAGGTTGTTGGCTTCTCTCTGTGAGCAAAGGGAGCTTTGGTCCTGGCAGTGTCAGATGTGCTTTGCAGTTGGGATCTCTGCACGTGCCCTGCTGTGCTGGGTGCTGCTGGGTCCTGGTGCCTATGGAGCAGTGGACACATTTCCCACCCATCACCATTCAGTGGCACCAGCAGGGTGCTGCTTTAAGTGTGCAGCAAGGAGAAATGGGAACAAGGAGATGATGCCCACTGGGATCATCTCATGATGAAGGGATGGGCTGGCTCTGGCCAGATGGGCTGCTCCGAGGGGCAAAGTGCCCTGGTGCTTGCTCATGCAGTGCTGTGCTCTCCTCTTGCTGCAGGCACCGCAGTCTGCTTGGAGCCACTGGGGGGAAGAGAACCCGGCCCGAGCTCTGCTTTGTTCTGTGCCTGCAGTAGCCTCTCCCTCTTTGGAGAATGAGATATTGAAGTGTTTTTGGGAATGATCAAACCCTTCAGCTTCACTACTGCGATTAATCAATCACAGCCGTTGTTTTCCTGCTCCGTATTTTGAGGCATTTCAGGTTGTTCTGTAATTAGTCCAGTTCAGGGCCAGTAAACACATTCCTCAGTCCTGGCAGTGCACTGGGATGGAGAAAAACTGAATTTTCCAGTGCTGTGCTTTGGTCTGAGCCAGGACTGTCCAAACCTATCAGGGAGAGCTATGGAGAGCTCTGCCTCTTTGGCTGGCACCTAGAAGGGCAGTGCAGCATCACTCACATTCGTTGTTATCATCTGCAAAGGGAATTCTGCTTGGAGGCAGCTTTGTTGGAGGAATGGGTTAGGGGGGCTGGAAGTAAGGAAGAGATTTAAGGAATCTCCCTTCACTGAATGGCAGCTGCATCATTGCAAGCAGTGTCTGGCCTGCACCTCTCAGCACGTGGCAGTTCTGAGGAGTTTGTGTCAGTTTTGGATACTTAGATACATGGCTTAAAAACTAAGCATGCTTACTTTCTAAAGCTTAAAAATGCTGAGGAGCATTTGCAGCTAAAGAGCCAGGCGGGATCAGCAAGCATTCAAACACTTTTTGAAAGTGTTACTGTCAGACAGAATGGAAAAAAAAATGGTGCTGAGGTCCTCTAGGTGATTTAAAGACACTGAAGTGAATGTTCCAGACACCCAGCAGCAGAAATGCAGCAGCGTGGCTCAGCCTGATTCTTGCACAACCCAAATCCATTGGTTTGGAACATCTCTGCTCCACCTTTGCGAGTGATCCCATCCTAATGTGCCAGCAGAAGGTACTTTTAGCTTCTTGAGGCACTTCGTGTAGAAATGAGAATCACTGTGCTCTCTGAGTGTCACTGTAATGTTGTGCACCAGAGAAGATCTGGTTTTAAATATGAATCAAAATAGTAACAGATTTCTGATATTTTTTTTATGTGCGTTTTCTAAGTCTCCAAATTAATTGGCCTACGAAACACAAAAGGGATTATCACAGCATCAAAGAGAATATTTATGAGCTGCTGAGAAGGCAGAGGGATAAGCAGCTGTTTTGAGGACTATCCTGGGCTCTCTGATCCTCTCCCAAGCCAAACAGGTGGGGCTCAGTCAGATGGAGCTGCAGGAAGGGGCTGGGAGCATCCAGCGCTGCTGCTCACCCACCAGGCATGGCCTGCAGGTCCCAGCAGGGCAAAATGCAGCTCCTGGCCCCTGTTGCAGCTGCTTCAGCTGAGACTCACGTGCAGGCACAGGTGGTGCTGCCAAGACTGCCAAACGGGGACAGAAACACTCGGTGGAACCCAGCCAGTCCTCAGCATCTTTTTTTTTTTTTGTTAGGAGCAGAATGGAGGGAGGAGAGACGGCGTCTCTGAGGCTTTGTGCTGGCAGAGGAAAGATGCAGGAGGTTGTGCCTGTGTTTGCCTTGGTGCCCAGGTTTTTCAGCCTGAGCTGTGAGCTGGGCGTGCCTGGAAGATGCTCCTCACAAAAGAATGAATGCCTGCTCTGCTTTCCAGATCGCCTGGTTCAGAAAGCTCTGTTCAGTGTAAACCTGGCTGTGCATTACAGACTCCCAGACTTGTGTGCGTGGTGCTGCAGTAGGTGTTGTCCCCTCACTGCATGTGGTTTGCAGGTCTCTGCATCCCCTTTGTTTCTCCATCCCCCATTTGTTGCCGCGCTCTCATCTGCTGCTGGCCTCGAGCAAATGCTCCTTGGCTTCTGCATCGTGTGGGCCCTGCCTGAAGGAACCCGTGTCAGCTGTTGGTCTGAGGATGAACCCAATCCCCTTGCTCTCCTCTGCTTACTGCTCAGGGAAGCTCCCGATGGTCTCAGGAGCTGGAGCCGGAGGGAGGCTGCCGGGGCCAGCGCAGCCTTGCAGAGCACCACGGAGCCAATCGCTGCTGCTAGGGGTGGAGCTGGAGCTCCAGCAGATGAAACCGAGTGCCTTTCCAGCACAGTTGGTCTGGGCGACTGAGAGATCTGTTCGTGGGGAGAGGAAAGCCGGGACTGCGGCTCCGACGCGCTCCTATCCCAGCAGCACCGCAGGAGCGGCCGTTACCCTCTGCACATCGGAGACGCGAAGGTACTGCCCTCCTCTCGGCTCTTGTGCTGCTTGTTGCTCGATTGCTGCTTAGAGTTGGAGGAAAGTTTACGGGGAAATGAGCTGTGTGCAGTGACAGCGCCCATCTGAAGGCAGTGGGAGGGATGGGCGGTGATGCTGGGATGCGGTGCCAGGTGTACGGGGCAGCTGGGGCTGTTTTGGTGCTGCTGCTATGGCATAGCCTGCATGCAGGGCCCGCTGGCAATGCTTGCTTCCCTCATGCTGTGCCAGAGGTTGGAAGTGGCCGACATGCATTGTGTGTGACCCAGAGCCTGTCGGGTGCCAGGATGCTCTCCAGTGGTGCTATGGAGTGCAACATCCACCTGTTCAGAGGTGACCGGAGTCGACTTGGTGCCTCAGTGGGGACTTTGTCCTGCATTGGTTGGTCAGCAGAAATGAGGGGTGCTTTGTGCAGGCTTTTCCCCAGCACAGCCCTAAAAACAAGCTCCTTTGACTGCAGACTTGATGTCTGCAGATGCAGGAATCCAACATATTACCTCTGCTGTTCTTAAAGTTTGGAGAACTTCCCAGGCTAGCAGTGCTCTGAGAGCAAAAGCAGGTTTTGGGGAGGTAGCTGAGCAGCAGGACAGCTGCTCCTGGCCAGCCCTGAGCCGGGCACTGTTGAAGAACCTGCAGGAAAAGCAGCAGCAAACTTGAAGCAGCTGCTGGCAGGGGGGGCTCGGTGTGCTCCTGGGGTCAGCTGACCCCACGTGTTGCATTGGAGCTGTCTGCAGGTCTGAGCCTCAGAACAGCTGTCCTCATGCACCATGAGCACTGCCATTTGAGCTGCCTGAAAGCTCTCCTCTCATGACTCCTGGGACGTATGAATTGTTGGTGATCCCTATCCATGGACTGGTAGGTAGCATCTGACCAGGAACGTGCCCTAGTGCTGCCCTTCAGGCGGCCACATGCTCCTTTTTCATCCCATAGTACTGGAATGACCTTAGCGTGCATGACTGAGTGCAGAGCAAGATTTGCAAAGCCTGGAGTAGGCAGTTAAAAATCCCCGGTTTGCATTTTCTGCAGGTTGTGCCGTTGGCTCTCACACAAGCACGTGCTGTGTTTGTGCTTGTGCAAACACATAAGCAGCTCTGAGCCATGGGGTGCAGGGCAGGAGGGGTTCAGTGCAGGGAAAAGGGGCGGTGAGTGGGGGGTCTCCTTCTGCTATCCCTGCTACTGCAATAGACAATTCCGTAAGAGGTATTTTGATAAAGGTTGCTAGACAGTGACTCATCTCCCATAGGAAGGGACAGGAGGGAAGGGAAGTGCAGGAGCTTTTTAGGGTGAAACTGGAAAATGGGTCTTCCCCCAATATTTGATCAGAAGCGGTGAGAGCGGAGCTCTCTGCCCCCCAGAGCAAAAAACCCTTCAGTCAGAAAGCTCTTGTTCTTGGTGTCCCTGCAGCTGCCCTGCTGCCTTCTGCATCCCTCTCCCTGGGGTGGATGTTGCCCAAAACACGACTTGATTTTCTACCTCCCCCCAAATTGATTTCTTCTGATCAGTCTTAGTCACTTCTGAGTCACCCCAAGTAATTAATCCTTGCTCCTGTATAACAGTTTAGCTCTTCTATCTCTACCTGCCCGACCTGGGTGTGCATGTTTTCAGAAGTCACTTTGCTTTGCTCTGTGCTGCTCTGTTGTAGCTTTCCTCTCAATCCTCCCTCGAGTTTTCCTGCCCTCTTCTGCTCTTCCTGCTGTGCTGGAGCCACGGGGAACCCAGAAGAGCTGTAGTGCTGCACCTCTGCTTCCTCAGGTGTGCTGCAGAGCACATCCACCCAACAGGTTTTCTTACCATCGTTGCTGACTGACCACTAACCATTCTGGAAAAGGTTTCCTCTGTGTAGGGAGATGTTTTGCTGATACCTGCCTGTTGATACCCATTTGCAGTGGGTTTATTGCAGCTGCTGATCACTGCTGATGCGACACCTCGCTCTGGTACCAGCACAGCACTCCGTGCACAGAGATTTCCTTGGGAGCACTGGTGGCCAAGCTGGTCTCGTTGTGGGTTTTACCTTCCTTCTGCTTTGGGACTGAGGAGCACAGAGAGGCCAGCACTGCCAGGTTTTGTCTGAGTGCTGTGCCACATCTGGGTTAAACTCCCAAGGTGCACAGTGAAACCCAGAACCACATGGAGAGATCAGAACTGGGCCAATTTCTAGGCCAAAACCTGGGTGCAGATGCTCCCAAAGGTGGATTTGGGTACAGAAATGAATACATTTCAGGGGATCCGTCTCTCCCTCCATTGCACGGTGTTGTGTGCAGAGGCAGTTGCCTTCCTGATGGCACCATATGGAAGTTCAGTGATTCCTTACAACTTGTGCAAAATGCCCTTTGCTGGCAGGAGCTGCGTGGTGTGGAAGGAGCCATCCTGGGAACAGCAGCAGCTTCAGGAAACAAAGGAAAGGTTTCCCCTCATGCTACGCTGCCACCTCTGCAGTGGGATTGACTTTATTTGCATCTGCTGAGGGAGGTTTAGCAGAGCCAGGTGTTGCTGTGTTAGTTCAGCATCTTTGACCTTCAGGCAGCCTGTGGATGAGCCTGGAGAGATGTGGGCTTGGGGGGGTGCTGCATCTTTGCCCCTTTCTGACAGTTCTGTTGTGATTTCTTGGGGACACCAAGCTCAGTGTCCCTTGTCCCCAGATGAAGGACATGCAGATTGCTCTCTCCAGACTTGCCAGTTGTGTGGCACTGGGGATGCTGGAAGTCCCCCATGCCAGGATGGAGCAGAGACCGATACCCAAAGGCCGTCCTGCTCCTTTTGCAGCTCACTGGAGCAATTTGAGGGTGCTTATTTCTAGGCAGTTTAAAAAGTCAAGAGGAATTAAATAAATGCTTGTATGGATTGTGGCCCTTATAGAAGTCGTGCGTAGGAGAAATACGTTTTATCTGCGGTCACTCATGCTCTGCTCTCTGCTCATGCCTCTCACCTGGCCCTTGCAGGAGAATGTCTGGGTCTGTGTGATCCTTGGTCACCTTGCAGCAGCTGCAGGGAGAGATTCCCACTGCCTTTGCTCCTCATTCTGCTGACAGCTGCGTTTCCCTCGTGCTCAGAGGTGTGAACACTTCTACCTGCACCACCATCTGCTCCTGCAGAGCAGGAGGATGGCATTTTGTGGGGGCTGGGGAGAGCTGTGACACTCGTGTTGTGTTTTATTAATTAGAAAGGAAGAAAGTTGCAGAGAGATCAGATTTTGAGAAAGACCCCGAGTTCTAAAATGCTCCCAGAGGACAGATCCCTAATTGCTCTCTAATTGCATTAGGATTTCATTTGTTGTTCTTTTTACTGTCATGTTCCCATTTTTCTTGACAGTTTGCTTTGTGCCATTAACCAGGAATGGCTGGAGATGAATATCCTCAATATTACAGCTGGCCTGTTGTGCAGTGCCTGATGGCTTTGCGCCTCCATGCACCCATGGGAGATGTGCCTGGCTGTCAGGCTCTCCACCTATAGATCACATGCATGATCTGTGTCAGAGCACATACCTGCCCATGGGCCTGGGTGCAATGGAGCTGCATGTGGAAGGCGATACCAACGCTGGAGAAGCAGAGAGCTGCAGTGTGAACTTGAAAGTGCTCCTGGGTTTGATCCAGCTGTTTAAAACCAGTGGGGTGGACTTGTGGCAAAAGTGAGACGTGGGTATTTAAGGCTGTCATAAAGGGCACGGCTACAGACCCACAAATATTCAGAGCACACTGGTTTCAATATTACATAAAGCAAATGGGAAAGGCTCTGAGGCTGGATCTGCAGCACCCAGAGCAGCTTGTCAGAAACTCCAGAATGGGATGAAATGGAACACCCACGACTTCCAAAGCCGTAAATTAATCAGCTCAAACCCCCTGTTGTACAGGATGTTGGGTGAGCTCCTCTATTATTAGAAATATAATAAGCACATGTGAAGTGATGGTGTTAGCAGGAGCCACGCAGCTCTGCCCTGTGCTGCACTGCATGCTGTGCTGCTCAGTGCAGCATGGCAGAGTACTGTGCATTGCTCCATGCCTGGATGCATCCGTGCTCTCTTTGCAAGCAGCAGGGATCAGAGCAATCAGGGGGGGTCGTTGCTTCCCACCATGCAAAAAATGTCTAAGTGGTGTTGTGCATGCACACAGCCCCCGTGCTGGCAGCAGGGCTGCTCCTGCTTTGGCTTTGCATCAGTGTGTGCTGATGCACAGGGCCTGCTGCTTTCTCTCTGGGACCACCAGGCATCTTTGGTGCTGGAGTGGTGCGTGGTGCTGCTTTGCAGGGCACTGCTCTGCTGCACAGTGAGGAAGAACTCTGCAAAGCAGGGTGCAGGCAGCTCAGTGCCATCAGCAGCTCAGTGCCATCAGCAGCTCAGTGCCATCTGCAGGTATCGTCACTGTTCCACATTTACGAAACTCTTCAGCATTTTCATAATCTCCTTCTGTAATGCAGGCTGGTTGGCGTTTGGGGCTTTTTGTTCTGAAGCTGAGTGAGTTCTGTTGCTGCTCTGCTGTGAGAATTTACAAACCCTGCTTTGAAAACTAAAACTGCATACAATACATCACCTTGTTTTAATACCTTTCCGCTGCTTCTCGGTGCCACTGATAAATCACATAGGAATGGGAGTCCTTGGGCAGTGCAGAGAGCTGAGGCCCTCCCAGCCCCTGTGTTGGGTTTGTCTGCAGGAGGCATTGCCAACCTGCAGCCCACCTGGCTACGGCCCTTCTGCAACTGCAGCTTATTTCTCCCAGCCAAAAACAGAACAGTTTGCATTTCTGGAGACTCTTTCACACCAGGAATACTACAATGGGCATTGATTAACCATTTCTCATTGCTCATCTGGTGATGAGGGAGAGAATAGAGGTGTGTTGTTTTTTTTTTTAATGGATGAGTGTGAGATGATCTGGCTTCTTCAAATAACACAAATGCAAATACAGGGATTTCTTTTCCAAAAATCAATGGTGGACAAAGCAAAAGAAAAGGCTTTAGGGGGAACTCGAATGTTTTATGTTTTACTTAAGGTA